GCCTCTAACTCCAGCTTCTGGAAATAGATGTCCTTTTCTGTCTCCATGGACCAATGCACATATAGATAATTTTTTTAATGTTAATCCCCCGTTTATTTTTTTAAACAAGGTCTCGCTGTGTAGCCTTGCTTGACCTAGGCTACATAGCTATTTACAACAGCTCATAGTTGTCTAACTGCCTCTGCCTTTAGAGTGTTTTAAACCTTTTCGAAAATTTAATGTGATTCTAAGTTTTGAACCAAAACCTTCAGGATATGGAACCATTGCTATGATCAAGTAAAATAGGCTCATTTAACACAAATGAAAAATGCATAAAGCAGTGAACAAATTTTAAACCACCTATAATCCCTCATCCAAAATAGTTCAGCTCTTGTATGCCTGTCGGATTTTCTTACATTAAAGAGCGACCCTGCCCCCCATGCTATTTTTTGTTAATGTATCTTTCCCCAGTATAGAGAAAATACTAAATATCCTTCAATCGCCTCATTTTAAAGGACACAGAAAGGAATTCCATTGAGCAAATGTGTGGTTATTTATATAACCATGTTCCTAATTTAGGGCTTTTACGTTAAGCACGGAGTGATCGTGGGTCATGGAATGACTTCAGAACCTGAAGACAGAGCTTGTGACCTTGTGAGGTCAGTAGACTGGGTTTTAGGCACACGTGCATGCAAAATAGATGATTAGCATGATCGATCCTGAGAGGCAGAAAACTATGGGCCCTCAGAGTACTATTTTGGAGCTATGCGAGTCAGGAGGTGGGGGTTTTTCCGCAGGCAAAGGACACCGAATGAATGGAACCTGAGACCCACGGATCAGGAGCAAAACCCTGGACCTCAGAGAGGTGCACGATACAGGCCCTGGTGCGTCGCCACTCAGCACCAACAGAGGGCACCGTGTACCCAGTAGTTTGTGGTGGGCGGTTCCCAGCTGCTGGCCAGATGTGAGTAGCCGAACTGCGGGAGGCTCGAAGCTTTACTGGAGCCCCTGCAGACTAACCCGCAGGGAAGAGCAGGAAGGAACGGCAGGGGGCAGGGTGGTGGCAGAAAGCTCCAATGCCGATCCTCTACAGATTCCCAGATTGCTTTTCTCAGCCGGACAGAAAAGGGGAACCCTCTTGCCCAAAGGGGGCGCCGTTTTGTGACTTCCACAAAACATCAGTTACTTGCTGGCGGCTGCCCTGTGGTGGCTCAGCAAGACCAAGCTGGGTCCATCGGTCAGGGCGTGAGGCCAGGAGAGACCCACGCGGCAGCCTGCGGTGGAAAAAAGAATAGGCCTTAAGGGCCTTGAACTTTTTGAGTACACACAGCCTTGGACCTCAGACGTTGCAACACACACTCACACGCACGCACGCGCTAAGCTCCAGATGAGGACCCTGGGGATCAAGGATACTCCCAAGACCCCATCCTCTTGATTTGCCTGCTGTCCCCACTCCCAACCTCTCCCGGGCCTCCGAGGTAAATCTGCTTGTCAAATCTGTAATTGGCAGCAGACTGGGCCAGCCAGAGGCTGGACGGTGGCACAGGGTTGGGCGAGGGGCTTAACTTCAGGGCAGTGGCTAGCAGTATGGACTTCAACGCTACTGGGAGTGGAGTGGAATGGGACAGGTCTTTTAGCTCCACAGGCTCGACATGGAATAGCCAAAAGGGGTTTTTGGTCTGTTATTGGAAGTCCATTCCCTGGAAACAGAGGCCTTGAACCCCAAGAAGAGTGCAGGAGGAGAGGGACACCTCAGAAGAGCTGGAGTAGGGGAGAGCACAGATTCCAAACTCCCCCGCCCCAACCTCAGAAACCCTGGTTCATCTTGTCCGAGACTCCTCCCTTGTTCTGACCATCCCCTGCTCCCCTTTCTGCCGCCCCCGTCACCCCCCTTCTCGTGTCCCCAGGGCGCTCCCACCCTGGGGAAGAATGTGCCCTCCTAGCTCACCCTTGCCATGGTAACGGCACACCCCCACCCCCGCGCACCACAGCAGCAAGGCCTGGCCCCGCAGGCGGTGAGAAGCGCGCGCGCGAGGGGAGGGGTACCTCCCAGGCCCGCGGACACACCTCGGCTGCCCTGGTTGCCACAGCAACCGGGGGAGTTGCGAATGCGCAGTCTCGAAACAGCAAAGGGTTCTCTTCGATACCCCACACTCTTACAATTCACCAGCAAAGGACTCTCTGGACTGGATCCAAAGAGGGATCCTAGAGTGTCCCAGATTCTGTCCTCAGATGCTCAGAAAGAAAAGACAGCCCATGGGTCCAAGAGAGCCTGGCACCTGAAAAAGTTTCTCCCTGTCTCCAACCTGTCCCCCCTCCCTCAGCAGAACCCAAGGCGGGCGCTGGCAGCAGGAAGCTGGGGAAGGACCAAGAGGCACGCAGGCCCCACAGTGGAGCTGTGATTACAGGGACCTGTCCCTCCCGCCCCCGGCTCCCACTCTCATTAAGTCATTTTTTCCCCTGTTGGAAAGTCCCCGTGCCTTGAGCGCAAGGGATGGGGCGACCGCAGGCAGCTGCCGGCAACCACATGAGGGGGGGTAAGGAGGGAGGAGGGGGGCTGAGACTGGGGCTGGCCACTCTCCAGAGTGGTAGGCCCCCTGCCAGAGGCTAGCTGGGGGCGCATTATTTCAGAGAATGGGTAGGGAGGGAGCTCCTGAATGACAGACCGCCTTGACCTTGCTTCTCACCCAGGTACTCTGCAGCTGGCAAGTGATCTTTGAATGCCCTTCCCTTTTAGATCCCCTTGGGCGAGTGAAAAACCAGATGGTTGGGTTCTCATCATACTCCAGTGTGCAGTTTCTCCCTGACCTTTAACCCTAGCGCTGTGTCCATCAGTCTACCAGTCTCATTTGCTGTTAGTTCCCTACCTCCCTCTTTTGAGGACGGTTGACCCCACTCAGTTCTGAAAATCTAATGTTTCTCAGGTCAAAGGTGTACAGGGACAAGGGATATCTTTTCTTCCTTAGAATGATCCCTGGTCACTTCCCGTTCACATTACAAATTTCACCTCTGGTGATTCCCAACTTCTCCAGGCCACCTCCCCCTAAATAAATGAAGTGCATTCATTTCAGCCCATTTCCATGTATTTCTGATCAGCATAGCATTCCCACTACACCCTTCAGCCAGTGTACATAAGCCCAGCAGCCATCTTCCCACCTCCATCACCTTCACACCTCCCCTCAAGGGCCCTTATGGATTCCCAGGACACAGCTTCTGGTCCAGACCAGTGAGGCTGGATGGTAACTTAGGGGAATATAACTTTGTCCCTTTCCCCAACTTTACAGGTAACACTAACATAGATCAGACCACTGACTGCCCACTGGAACTCCCATATAGCTCAGCCTGAAGTCTCCTGCCCCATTCTGCCCTGTTCTCATTTCAGGCAACATGTCCTGCAGTATGCTGCTTCTGCCTTATTTATTCCCAAATTCCATCCCACAATGCTCACTTCCAGTTTCCCCTCCCCAAGCTCTGAAAGGCAGAGGGTGAGCTCAAGGCTGATGCCCTAGTGGATACTGCTGGGCTTGGGACTATCCCTCCATCCTCCAGTTTTCCCAGGACACCTCTGTTCCTCCCTAGGCTGGGAGGGAAGAAGGGGAACCCAGCCCCTACAGTTCTCTCCCAGATGAACAAGAGGAAAGGAATGAAGCAGGTGTGTCATCTGCTCCGGCCTACCCCTCCTTCCCCAGAGACACTCACCCACCTGCCTATGAGGCAATTTGGGGGTGGGCAGTGAGTTGAGAAACCCTGCTCTCCACCAAGGCAGCAGAACTTGGCACTTGAATGGTCCTGATGCCTTAGGCATGCCTAGAGGCTGCTGAGATGTAGCAGCTGAAGGACAGGGAGCTGAGAGCTATCAAGTGGACCCAATCTTCCATCTGGAGGGCCAACAGAGGTGCATGTTTCAGAGTCATCCCCTCAAGGGATAAAGTCAAGGAAATATGGGGGGGGGTCTGTGCAAACTGGCCTTTGGAACAAGACTCTGTCTCTGCTAGGTTTGTCAACATGGATGCCATTGGATGATAAATGGAGGCAACCAACAAGGTTACTAACTGAACAATGGGCCTGGATATGGTAGATAAACTGCTCTGCTGAGATCTTTAGGATCTGTTCTAGAAAGTCATCAGACTTGAGCCAAAGTGAATAAAAGCATGAACCCAAATTCCACCTCAGCAGAGTCCAGGTGGCAGCTTAAAATCAGGGAGGAGTTTTAACCTGCTACCTTGAGTTCTGCCTCTGGGGGCATGGGGGGCTCAGGAAGGCTGCTTACCCACCCCCAGCTTTCCTGCCTGGACTCCAGAGCCCAGCCCCAGACTGTGGAGTCTGCCACCCTCCCCTGCCGCACCTTCTGGCCCCACCTGCTCCCTGGGGCGCTAGGCTGGGTTGAGCTGAGTCTTGCCCAGGATCACTCTTCTCAGAGTGCCTCCTGTCTCTGCTGTCGGTTGCTGCTGGGCACAGCCACTCGTCCTGGCTTGTGGCAAAGGGCTCAGGTACAAAGTGGGCGTTTAGAATTCTGGCATTGAGGCCTCTGGGTTCCTGGATCCCATTCCTTCTAGACAGCTCTACTGCTGTGTTAGTTGTAGTCCCCATAACCTGCGTTCTGTCTGTCATCTTGTCTCCATTTCAGTCAGACCCCTGTACATGTGAGAATCAGAGTACAACTGCGTGCTTCTTCTCTGCAAATTCTTCTTATATAAAACCCAGTTCCTATCCCAGCTGCCCCAACCTCCGATCTCTCCTATCAGCTTTTGATTTCTACTCTCCAAACACAGAGGCTGCTCTGCTACTCCTCCAACAGGAGGAGGTCTCTCCCCCTCGGAGAAGCCTGTCTGGAAAGCCCTTCCCCATCCATAAGGCTCTTTGGTGAGAGGAAATCTTGCACTTCTCAGCTTATAAAGCACAACTCAGAAGTCTCCCTGGCAGGTCGTTTTAGCAAAAGGGGCCCCATTCCCCATAAACCAGTGTATACCCAGTACCCTACTTAGTTTTCCCCATAGCCCATAACATTGCCTGAAATAACCTTGTTTGTGTGTTTACTGGTTTATTGCCCACCTGCCTTAGTAAGCCTGTAAACTCCAGAAGGCCTCTCTTTCCCCAGAGAGCGCCACAAAGAGAGTGCAAAATAAATATCTGTTAAATGAACAATAGGGGCAGAACCCTCTGCAAGAGGGTATCTGGGGCCTTATAGAATCATCACTTCAGCCTGATCGTGCCTATTTCTTCATTTTAGTTTTCTTCCCCCAGTCCATCAGCTTCAGTGCAATGCCTGCCACTCCTGGGGAAGGGGAGAAATATGACAGGAAATAGGCCTGCCAGGCTGGGCTGCTTTGGTGACACGTACTAGGGTGTGGGGCAGTCTCCAACATCACCCCCAGCTGTCTGAGCTAGGAGCTGGAAGAGGGGAACCCACAGAGTGGGTGTCAGTCAGGTCTAGATTGTCTGGTGATTGCAGATCTTAAGAGCAGGAAGAGCCAACTACCTCTCTCAGGAGCTAAGGATGCTTGCTGTCTGGCCCAGATCGCTATCTGCAGAAGCCAGGCACCAGATGGAGATCCTTTCCTGAGACTCAGAGGAGCCTGGGCCCGCTCACTTGCAGACGCTGACCCACTCGGTGATTCGGCATTCTTCGCAGACCACGAAGCAGCACCAGTGGAAACGGCAGTGGCATCGCTCACTGCGCGTCTGGCGCAAGATGTTGTGGCCGCGGCCACAGCACATGCTGCCGCAGCCGTCAGGACCCGAGCTGCTCTTATTGCACAAGCGGCCCACGGTGCCCGCCGAGTCCAGGCGCGGCTCGCGCTCACAGAAGTCGGGAGATTTCTCAAAGTAGATCAGGTCGGAGTGGCTGGCCCTTCGGCGCAGCCCTGAAGTGCCAGGAGCTGGCGAGGGTGCCCCAGCGGCGGGGCCGGGCTCCAGCTGGCCACCGTTGCGGTTGTGCGGCCGGATGAGAGTGGCGCGGTGGAAGCGATTGCGCAGCAGCGCCCCCACTGCACGAAACTCAGGCGTCACCTGCCAGCAAGTCTTGAGCTGGCAACTGCCTGAGGTGCCATGGCACTTGCACTTTCGCCGCATGTTCTCCATCACCGCCTGCAGAGGGAGGCACCGAGAGGGATGAGGCTGGCATCCAGCGTCCCAGCCTTCCTCTGGCCAGAGGCTGGAGACCGGCACCCATTTTACAGAAGCAAATACTGAGGCCTAAATCTGGGGCTCAGAACTTCTGCAGCCTTCCCACCCACCTCCCATCCGGCTAGGCCCTAGGGAAATTCCCTCCTTCACGCTCTTTCCTTCCTTGCCAGCCTTCCCAGCAATTGCAAGGGGCCCTTGGGCCTGGGGGTTCTTGCTTCCTGAGCCCTGGGGGATCCTAAATCTCCAGGGAAATTCCCTCTCCTTTCCCTGGAGCAAGGAGGCGCCTGCTCACCTACATCCCAACCCCAAAGCCTTTGGCCTCCCTCCAGGTGGTGAATGAGAAAGGCCCCCTTCCACAGCCCCCTTCCCAGCTGTGCCCAGCAGCTCTTTGCAGGGAACCAGGTGTGAGGAGACATTCTCCTTCCCACTATACCAACTCGAGCTCACTCTGTTCACAAGGAGGGACAACAGGTGCCAAAGCATTCCCCAGATGTAGAATGAAACCCAGCCGGCTAAACTATCAGCTGTATAGGAGCAGATGAATTTCCAGGTCTGGGGTGGGGGGACCTACTTGTCACTCACTCAGTGCTCAACTTGTTCTGCAATGTCCTCCCAAATAACCCCTTAGTGTTACCCTCGTAGGCACCCCCTTATTGTCCATATCCTCCACCACCCCCACTTCAAATACTCTTCAGGAAAACAAGGATCTGGGGTGTTCAAAACTGCTCAAGAAGGCTATAAGCCAGGGAGCCTACTGCTCTGGGTGTTGAATTGCTGCACAGCCTGCATGTGTAGCCTGTGGTGTCAGCACCACGTGAACCCCCCCCACACACACACACATGCACTCTGCCCCTCCCCAAAGCTTCCCTAGGCCAACAGCTCCAGAACATCTGCTTCCCACAGGCTGCAGCCATTAATTAACCACTTTAACAAGGACAAGGAGGAGGCCCTGCTGGTCTGGACTGGGGTGGTATCAGGAGCTTGGGAAAGGAGCCCCAAGCACAGGGTATGGCTGGGTAGCAGCTGGATGGGACCTGAGGGTAAGCATGCCTCAGTTCACCCTCACCCTAAGCCAAGATGGAAATTGCTGAATCAGCCCTAGAGAGGGAAGATGAACTGGAGTGGACTAAGAGGCCAAGGAGAGAAGAGGGTATAATGAGAGGAAGCAGGAGGCTGGGGACTGGGTTGAGCAGACTGGAAGGGTCAAGAAGGAGACCTAGAAAGGCAATGCCAGGGAAGGAAAAGTGCTAAGATGTGAGTGACTGGGGGATGGAGCCCGCCTCTCTAACACTCTTAGTCATCCTGTGCCTTGGTTTTCATATCTAAGCACATTGCTATTAAGAGTATTGACATTATAGGTAAGTAATAGGTAGGCTGATAGCTCAGGACAAATGCCTAACACATAGTAAGGTTTGATAAATTCAATCTATTATTCTTGTCCTCTCTTCTGTGTTTATGTGTCTGTGTATTGTTATTGGTGGTTATTACTTTTGCAGGAAGGAATTTTAAGGTAGTATGAGCATCCCAGAAAAAAAGAGAAAGAAGTTAGGAAGCTATAACAGAGGCCTTCAGTTGGCAGGAATCCCCTGCTGGGAGACTGAACGTAAAGTCCCAGACTGGTGACCTCAGGCTCCAGGTGCCATAAAACATTTAGAGCTGGGCTACACGATGGGTGATCTTAATCAACGTTCTGGCTCTGCAGCGAAGAAGACTGTGGCATCCCAAGTCTGAATGCCAGCCTACTCCTTTCTCTGTTGGTCATCAGAGAAAATGGGAGCAAGTTCTTCCACATGGGGCTCTTTCAGCCCTCTGTTTCCCAGGCCCACTGCAAAGCTCCAGCGCATAGAACTAAGTCCCCATGGGGCAGTCTTGCTGGCTGAATTAAGAGAGGGTTGTGAGGTTACTGAACTGGGGAAAATTGTGTTATTCCTAGAAGAGGAAGCTACCAGGAGTGAATGCAGAGCCGGCTTAGCAGTGGGAGTGGGACCATGAATCTTACCTGCCTGCCAACACGATTGTTGTGGAGTCTCATGCGCGCGTGGATGTCTCTGTGAGGCTCCCGGGAGTCCAGAAAGTCCTTGGAGAAGCGTTCTCCGAAGCCCACATCCGGGCTGCAGCCACCCCACTCCCAGGAGTCCTGCAGGCCTGGGCTGGCAGGGGGCAAAGCAGGGTGTTCTGGGACCCCGTGGCTCAGGCCCTTACCGCGCTGCAGCGCATCCAGCTGCAGGCGGTGCAACTTCCGACGGAAAGCTTCTTCATCCCCACGCCTGGAGGCGTCGCAACCGCAAGCCTGTAGTTTACCTAGGGCACACGCGTTGGACACTGCGTGCACCACCCCAGCAGCTGCTATGGCATAGGCGAAAGCACTCTCTCGAAAACCTGTGACAAGGGATTGGAGAGATGGTTCAGTGGTTAAGAGCCCTGGCTGCTCTTCTAAAGGACCTGGGTTCAATTCCCAGCACCCACATGCAGTTTGCAACTGTCTTAACTCCAGTTCCTCAGCGATCTGACACCTTCACACAGATGTACATGCAAGCCAAACACGAATGCACATACGATAATAGATCATTAAGGAAAAAGAAAAGCTGTGGCAAGAGACCAGGAAAACATGGTAGAAATAGCTAGGGATATAGTTAGATGCAAATGGCTTCTTACTAGCATGCTGTGAGATTCAAAGGAGATTTAAGGAGATTGGGTGGGGGCAGGAATTATACTCCCTTCTCTTTTTCATTAACACCTCCTTAGCAAGCTTGGAATTTGTATGTCTAGATCTTTCCTCCAGGGCAGAAAGTGCCTGGCAAATACATTCTTTTTCAGATCAAACACTTAATCTATTACCTTTCACGGTGATATTTGCAATTTTAAAATAGCCTGGGGAAAGAGGATGAAGTTTAACCCAAAGAGTAAATTACAAGTGATGGAATTCCAGACCCCAGGAGATGCCAATGGTCAGCAGGCTCTACCCCAGTCTGGAACTCTCCCTCTCTGGTGGTTTTTTTTATCTGGATCCATAGGACATGGCTGGAAACAGTGAGTACCTTTTCAAGTTCTGTCTAGGGTCTGCTGATAACTTCTGAAGGGAGGTGCAGGTGAACCCAGTGGCATCTGGCATGTAGCAAGCAGGGCTGCAAACTGAGTGGGAAGACAGACTCTGCTTCTCATTAGAGGCTGAGGAGGCAAAAGAACTCTCTCTGATTGAGACACTCACAGGGCCCTGGGATGTGCTAACCTGGCCCAGTGCCTGTGTGCACTGTCTCCCTTTTGGGCACCCCAGCCTGAGCCATCTCCTGAGATGGCTTTGGATCTGTACAGGAGAAGCCTACTCAGAGATATGGTCCAGGCTCTCATACCTGCAGGATACTTTCTGTTTATTCTCCATTGAGAAAGTGCTAGCAGGAAGCAACTTTTAGTACAAGTCTGTGGAGTCTGAAGAGGGCAGGCAATGAGAGAAGCCAGAACTGCCTTGACAAAGTGAAGAATTCATCTGTGCCCTAGACCCCTGTGGAAGAAACCCAGAATGAGGCAGGAGGGTGATGGCCTTGGGGGATCCCAGAGGTTTACAAGAAACAGACAGGATCCTCCTACGCCAGAATCAAGGGTTGGGAGGACATGTCCTCAGAGAGGCCATACAGGCTCTAGAGAGCTATCTGGGACTAGACAGAACCCCTAGCCCATTCTTGCCCTAAGCCTCACCCTGCAACATGAACTGTATCCTCTTCTTGCCCAGACAAATGATAATGAAGATTCCATGGTTTTTTTTTTTTGTTTGTTTGTTTGTTTTGTTTTTAATAGCAGCTAAGAGCCAATGTCTGCAGTCATATTGCTAGGGTTTCACATCTTGGCTCTTCTGCTGACTAGTTGCTAATAACTATATGACTTTGGCCAAGAGACTTAACCTCTTTGTGCCTCAGTTTCCTTCTCTGCAAACACATTATTATCTAGCTGGTTGCTGTGCCAAGAACACGAACAAGTTATTAAATTTAAAGTACTTGGAATGGTGTCATACTCATAGAAAGTACTACATAAACATTGCTGTTATTGAGAAGTTCTTCTTGCTGTTTGATCTCGTTCAATTCTGCTACATTTTTTTTTTTTTTTGCATCTTTGTTTTTTTGTTTCACTCTGATCAAAGACAGAGCCTAGCAGCTCATGACCCACGTCTAGAACAAATCATTTGGATTAGTAGAAGCCTACAAAGCAGATGCTCCCTCTTCATCTTCTCTTTCTAGCTCATGACATCCTGGCAACATTTTCCTTTTTTATAAGGAGCATAGCAAGAACCAGACAGGAGGGGATGAAGATTGATCTGCAGCCTTCAAAGGGGATCCTGGAACTTGGCAAAGGCTTCAGGGGAGCAGAAACTGCTATGAGCTGGTGGAGCCTAAGGGTAATGGGTAGACCCAAAACTCTGGGACATGCACCCTACATTTATCCCCTGCCTTTTATCTTTGGCTCTCTAAGTGTGTCTCTTATTGCTGGTAGAGTCATCAACCTGTCTGCTTTAGGACACACGGCAATACTCAGACCTCCAGAGGCAGCCTAAACCGACACTGGACTGGCCCCCTCTGAAACACATACCAACACACACACACACACACACACACACACACACACACACACACACCAATGCAAACTGGGAAATCCCAAGGCCACAGAGGTTATGGAGTTGAGCAAGCTCCCACTTAGCTCTCTTCACCTGGAAGGACATGAACTCCAACCAACTGAGTCTTCCTAAGAAAGAAACCCAGATATCCCGATTTCCAGTTCCTATGACTCTGTACAGACTTGGCATCAAGTCCAGAGGGGTATTCAGAGGCAACTACATCTTCAAGGTTTTAGCATGGTGAAGACTGGCATGGAAGAATCTGGAAAAATGTAACTTAGAGCACCCTACTCCCTCGGCCCCCATGCAACTCGAGATGCTCTCCCACTACCTGTTTCTGACAGCTGTCACAGCCATGTGTGGAGGTGACCAAGGTATGAATGGTCACTCTTTGCTCTAAGCATCCATACTCAGAGAAGTCCTGCCCACTGGGTCTACCCCAGCTCCCATGCAGGGCCCCAGTTTCGGTCTTGGCCCCAACTGTCTGGGCAGATGCAGGAACTATGCCATCTGGCCAGCTGGAGGGGGAAAAGGGTGGGGCCATGGCCAGCTGGGCTGCCCGGAGCAGGGTGGGGGGGACTTGTTAAGATGCACAATTAGCCGCCCTGCCTTTGATCTGGGACAGAGACTGCCAGCATCTAAGTGGAGTCAGCTGCTACTATAGGCTGCAGCCAACGGCCAGGAACAGGGCCGGGGGAGTAGACTTGGAGGACAAGGGAGTATGAAGGGAAGATGATTTAGGGGCCAGTGGGAACAAGGAAGGGCCAGAGAAGCTTAAGCTTTGCCCATTCAAGTCAAAGAGAGAGGAAGGAAGAATAGCAGCCTGGTCCCCATTCACTCCTTGCAAATCATCTATGCATATTCCTAAGCCTGGGGTAGGAGGGAGGGAAGAAGGGAGGAGGGAGAGAGGGAGAGGGGGAGAGGGGAAAAGGAGAGAGAGAGTCCTGTGCATGGGGACCACTTAAGCAGAGTGGGTTGGTTTACACAAACATAGGTGTGTGTACTTCAGTACTTGGAGTACTTGGAGTACACACTCTTTGCTCCAGCTCACCTCTGGGTATGGTGGGACTGGCTTTGTAGTTGTAGTTTGGGATGCAGTATAGGACAGGGTTGGGCAGGGCCTCTAGAGTCAGGTGGACTGCATACAGTCCTGGCTCTCCTGCTTATCTACACACTGTATGACTAACAACATGTTACCCAATCTCTCTTAACTTCACTTGTAAAGATAACAATAGGACCTACCAAGTGGGGACCATTTGAGGACCCTAAAACATGGATATGGTGTTTTACTATGAGTCCCAACACATTCTAAGCGTTTAAGACATGTTTGCTAATCTATTGGGATGTCATCAAAATTCTAGGGCTTTAGATGATCCTGAAATGTGATTATCTGTGCCTGTTTCCCTGAGTGCCACTGCATTCTCCAAACCCTGGATGCCTGCTCTTAAAGTCTTACTAAAACAAAGAAAGAACAGGGCATCGTGGTGCAGGCTCTGGCTACTAAAACTGCTTTTTCCTGGGCTGGGATCCTGGCTTGCTGCAGGATGTCAGGCCTCTTCTTTCCATCCATTCCAAATGTGTCTGGACCCTAGGGCCAGCAGCACCTAACAGCGGCAGCTCCTTGGTGAATCTACCATACCCTCCTCCTCTAGTCTCTCTCTGATCGTTCACTCCTGACACACCAGGACTTAAGCCTAGGCCCCCTCACATCACCTCTTCGTCCTCACCCACTGAGGGACTGCTGGGAGGGTTCTCTGTCCATTCCCTAACAGATGTGATGTCCGGCACCCAGGCAGTCACCAACCAGTACGGGGTCATAGTACAAGACGCTGAGGGTACCAGTCAGTGCCTTTGTCACTTAGTTCATTGTTGCCCTTAGGGCTGGGCAAAGAAGCTGGCATGATTTTGGGCCCTCTCACAGCTTTTTGTCCCCCTGACAGTCCAGTCCCTTGGAGATTCCTGTGCCTGCCCCTATTTCCTCTCTGGTCTGCAGCATCTGTCTTTGGCTAGGCAAAGTCTGGTTATATTCCTGATTATATTGCTGTTCCCCTTCATACCTTTTACCCTCTTTCCTTCCTCTGACCCAGCTGTCCAGCTCAGCCTCTCTTTGTGAAGGTTTCAGGAGGAGAGTGTGGTAGTAACAGCATTGTTGTAGAAAACCCCAAGGAACCCCACTCACCTTCAACAGTCCTTGAAAATAAGCATGGCCAAATATATTTTAAAAGAACCTCCTTGGCAGCCTGGTTCAAAAGGTCAGCCCCTGATAATACACTCTTTGTCGTGTGTGTGTGTGTGTGTGTGTGTGTGTGTGTGTGTGTGCGTGCGCGCGAGCCAGGTTGACAAACTCCACAATGATCACAATGGCATAGAGGAAGGAACCAGGTAGCCGCCTCCACCAACAGTTACCTGGTGGAACTCAAATTTAGTGAGTCCTGAAGAAGGAGACCTAGAAAGGGACAAGGAAATGAGCCCAAAGGAGAGTGGCCCTAGCTAGATATGAGGGCAGGCTCGATGGCAGCGGTGAGGCAAAGTGGGGTGGAAGGATGGCACCCAGAGCCCCCACTAAGGAGGGAGAGGTACAAATGAGGTGTTGCAAGGAATGGGGGGGACAGAAGCCACTGAGGTAGGGCGGGGTTCCTAGGCCTAGGGAAGGAACCCAGCCCCTGGCTGGCGAGTCCTAGAGCCGCAGCCCCGCCCCCTCTCAGCACTAGGTGCCGCCCCACCCTGGCTAGCCCTGGCAAGTCTCCCCCTCCACCCCTAACCTCTCTCCTCCCCCCCCCACGTCCCCCCAGCTCAACTCCCGCTTATTAAACTGCAGATGAACCCAAGAGCACCTGGCCCCGTGCCAGCTCTAAACTCGCCCCTAACCTTCAAAGACCCTAGGTCCTTCACAGGTGTCAGCGGCCTGATAGGGACCCCATCGGGACGCCTAGATTCAAGCCAGAGAGATCAACAGGACTAGTGGAGACCCTGAGGCCGAGGAGAGGACTTCCAGGTTGGCCCTGGCCAACCTCTTTGGTGGTGGCAGGGGACCCTGAAAGCCTGTCTGAGCCACCACTGTGCAGAAGTTGAAGCAGGAGCCCAGGAAGAAACGCAGCTGTGGGGAGCCTGGATGATTTAGCAATCCCAGGGTGGCAGAGGATGGCTCCAAGGCGGTGAGCACCGGCCTGGCCCAGCCGGAGCCTGGAAGATGCTGAGGCCTGTCCGCCACTAGGTGTCAGCGAGCTCGGGCAGTGAGGAGTGGGTGGTGGGGTGGGTGACGTCGTGCTGAGGGAGTGGAGCAGGCCTGAGGGCAGGGGATCACTTGCGGCATCCCTCAAGCTGGCATGAAAGAATGATCTGACTGTGCGGGGATAGAGGGAAGAGAGCGCGCGGGGCAAGGTGTGTATGTGTGCGTGTTGGGGGGAGGGGGTGGCTCTCAGCAGCGCTGGAGCAGTCTGCTGCGGCCCGCGGGGATTAGTTCGCGGCTGCATGCCGCCACACGCGTCGGGCTGGGCTCGGCCGGGTAGAAACAGCGCCCGAGGCGCGCGGGGGAGGCAGGAGGGAGCGCGCAGGGGCGGGGCAGCGGCCTGGGGCTGAGCTGGGGGAGGCAGAGGTGGCCCCTAACTTGGGGGCCCAAGGGGTGCAAGCACAGGTCCTGTCGAGGGGAAGGAGCAAAAAACCTGGTTATGTTCTTTCTGCATTTGGGGCACATTGAAGCCTGGGTCCTGGCAAAAGCTGGAGGCACTGGAGGTATGCCCCTCCTCCTCCACTACCAACTAGAGTCTCTCAAACCCTAAGGAGCCAGGGATACCAGGTCCCTTCATTGTCCTGACAAGCAGCTGAGAAAAGAGCTTTATCCAGTAAGACAAACCCAAGCTGCAATCTTACCCCAGAGACCAGATTCAAGGCCTCAGCTAGGAGGTCAGTGGGAGTTGAAGCAAGTGACAAAACGACCTGCCACCCACAGCTTAACCGTTCTAGGGAGTGTCTAGGTGGGACACTAGGTGGGAAGTAGGGGGTAGAAAGCAGCGCTATGGCCCCCAGGAGCACTGGGGAGGGGGGGACACGGTTGACAAAGCTGTTAGGCTTGCTGGACAGGGGACACTATGCACAAGCAGACACACACCCAGGCCCTGACTTAGAGAAAGTTGAGGGGAGGGTAGTAAGAGTGACAAGCCAAAGTGGACCCTGCCACAGCATGCCATTCACCTGGCCAGGCTTCCTTACTAGCCTTGTGTGACAGGAAGTTCTCACTCTCTCTTTCCCTACCTTTTACCCCTCACTGGCTCTCCAACCCTACTGCAGCCTACTCAGTAAAGGGTAAACTGAGGAAGGTGCTAGGGATATTTCCTGAGCATGAGATATGTAACAGGGGTATAAATCAACAGTCTAGTGGTCAGACATGGCTGTTGCCAGCCTCAGGCAGAGGCGTGTCTGGCCCATGTTTCTGCCCCCCACTCTGGATACTTTTCTGAAATCAGAAAGCAACCTGGCTTGCAAATACAGGGGTCTGATGAGATGCCACCTTGAGAGCTCATTAGCGATAGCTAATAGGTTCTGGGGTACAGGTCCTGAGTGGGAAGGACAGGAGTTTGGAATGAGGAGCAGCTACCTCTACTGAAGATAGGACTCTCGTAGGGGACTTTGTTCCGAGTCTCCAGGCTGGAACAGTTCCAGCGCTGGTCCCGGAACTGATGCTGGCACTCATGGATGGCGATCTGGATGCCCTGGATAGCAGAGGCGGCCACGTCAGGGTGACGCACACACACCTCCATCTGCCGCCGGCTCAGGCCGGGCAATGTCAGGCACACTGTGTTGGCGTTCAGCACAGGCTCTGGGGGTAGGCGGAGGCCCAGGATGTCGTTGGGTGCTGACCTGCAGGCATATGGGGTGGGGTGGATAAGCATTTTGTGGGAGACTGTGAGGGCCTGTTTAATAACACACATTCTGTCCCACAGGCCATAATCACTCTACCCCAACTCCTGGTTCTTAAGGAATACATGCCTCTCCTCATCCACTCCAGCACAATCCACCCAGCTGCACACCCACGAAGGTGCATGCACTCAGTGTTTTACAAGTTTGTCCCCAGGCACAGGCGCTTCAAATGGGTGCCCCAGGAGCCTACCCCAAAACCATGCTTCAGCAACTGGTATTTCTTCCCACATGCTTCTATACCCATAATGGTGGAAGCAGAAACTCAGAGCACTTACCACTTACACACTTCGTCAGTTTTACACATACACACACACACACACACACACACACACGCTTGTCCTAACGTTGGCCCATAAACCCTCATAGTCACACATATATTTATACAAACTGCTGGTTGCCCAACCCAGCTTACTGGAACACACACACACACACACACACACACAGAGAGAGAGAGAGAGAGAGAGAGAGAGAGAGAGAGAGAGAGAGAGAGAGAGAGCCTCTCCGCAGCAGTCTCTCACTTGACCCCCACCTGAGCTGGGGAAACCCCCTCCAACCCCTCTTTCCTGCTCCTGTTCCGGGTGATCCCATCCGAAAAGTGGAAGGAAGCAATTTGAATTTATTCTTGGAGTGGGGGTGCATTGCCCCCAGGGTGGAAAGAACTCCTAACAAGCACTTATTCCCAAATACCCACCTCCCGATCTCGCTACCAACACCCACCTGGCATTGCCCTGTCTCCCTGGACTGCTCACATCCTGTCACCAGTCCAACCTCTTCTTTAGAGGTAGCTCACTATCTTTGATTGGACACCAGCACTTTTCGGTGACCCTGTCTCCCGGCTCTCTCCGTGGTCCTTCCCCCAGCCGGAGCAATGGGAGAGGGCCCCGGGGGTCCTAGTTCTCCAAGAGGGCGGAGCGTGAGGTGAGGGCTCACCTGGGCACAGCGGCAGCCAGCAGCAGTAGGAAGAACAGGAGCGCCCAGAGCTCAGGCCGCGGCTGGGGCCGGGGTGGGAGCCGCAGCCAGGGGCGAGGGTGGGCGCTGCCCATGGCGCGCGGGCCTTGACAGGCCGGGAGTGGGGGGCTCACAGCCCGATGGGACTAGCGAACCAGGGTCGCCGGCGCATGATCGGCAGGGGTGGGGCGGCTGCGACACACAGCTCCTACTCAGGTCACGGCTCCCGCAGCAGACGGCGCCCGCCTCCCCGCTCCATGGGGCAGCGCCCCCGGGCACCGCCCTCGGGGGGGTGGATGGGGAGCGGGCGAACCGGGCACCTCCTGGCACTGGGGTCCAGGGAATTTCCCAAGGCCCCCTTGCGACAACTCCTGGTGCCTCTAGAGGGTTAGGGGGGCCCGGAGGTGCAGCGGGCTGGGGACTCGAGGCTGAGGTGCTGGGGAGCCCCCCCCAAGCGCCGTGCTGCGAGCCTGCGCTTCCGAGGGTGTGCAAGGCGGGCGCGGTGGGGGCGGTACTGTCTGGCCCAGCCCCACCGCCTGGAGAGTGAGTGACTGTCCTGGTTCGGGGAGCTCTGCTCCCCCCCAATACACACACACACACACACACACACACACACACCATGTAGTGTTTAAGGGTTCTACCCCAAGTGACGTCACGACTGGGGTGTCGTGCTCGCGTCCCTGGGGCCACTGAGTCCGCTTAGGACTGGCACGCGGTGTTGTGTTGGGCACGCGGTGGGGGGGGGCGTGCAGAAAGTGAAGGAAGGAAAGGTACTGGCGTCTTGGCTCTTGGCACCCTGCACCCAGAGATGTCGGGTGCTGCTCTGTGTGTTAACCCGAAGTGTATGTGCCTCGCTGAAGTTGAAACACAGCTGCAGGGGAATGTCCCACCCCACTCCAGTACACACCTGCGGGGCTCTAGGGGAGAGGCCAGCCCCTCCGTTTTGCCTTCTCTGCCTCTAGAGGGACTTCCCCCAGCTTGCCTAGAGTCAGGGGTGTGTGTGTGTGTGTGTGTGTGTGTGTGTGTAGGGGTTTGGCCACCTCTGGCTTTTCCCCTGCTTTGCCCTGTTACCTTCCAAAGGCGCTCCTGGAGTCACCCTCTGTCCCTTTATGAAGTGAGTAATGGGGCCCACTTCACACAGTCAGTGAGCTACCCAAGGCAAAAGGGTCGGGATTCTAGTAAATGCTTGTTGGGACCTGGGTGACTTGGGATGATTCTATCTGGGAGCAGGGATTAGGGAACCTTCTAATTCAGAAGTGGGCAGTCTGAACATTGTATTCACCCCCCCTCTTTTTTTTTCAAATTTCACAAGAAAATTCAAAGGCCCAGAGAGGGTCACAACTTATGTAAGTCAAACAGCAAATTAGCCAAAGAGTCGAAATGGATTTAGTTCTTCTGTCTCCCACCACAATGGTGTGTCCTCTACCCTGAGAGCAGCTTGCTGTTGCGGAGGGATGAGTTGAGACGTGCCCTGGTCCTGGCACTGGTTCTACAGGGCCTGTCTGAATAGTCATCTGGGGTCCCTTCCTTCTCTAACACCTCTGGTTGAACACTGGTCCTCTGCTCAGTATAGGGCGCAAGTCTGTGACAAGTACCTGGGAACCATTGGCCCTGGCTCTTGTTCTGGTTCAAACCTGAGTCAGGACAGTTCATGTAACCCCTGCTGTGTCTTACCATGGTCCTCTGTAAAATGGGCACAAGTCTCCTATTCTGCACACCCACATCCCTCAAAATCCATGCCCCCCTCTCTCTGAAAAGAGGTCCTCCTGGCTTAAGAAGAGAACTGCCATTGCCTCTGGGCTCAGAGACAAAGGGGACCCATTCCAGGAACTGACCATCCTTGGAGAATTGCCTTTCTTGCCCCCAGACTGTCAGGTGGTGGGGGCGGCCTGAACAGCAGCAGGCTGATGACACACTCCCCCGCCCATCTCTGCCAGCAGCCATCGCAGCTGTCAGGAATTAAGAGCTTGGGGCTGCTGGGGGTTGGGGTGGGACAATGAAGGAGCAGTCTGGCTGGATAGCAGGAAAACAGCCGGGGGCAGGATGCAGCCTGTGTCGCCAGAGCCTTGTTTGACCCTAGCCACCCCCCTACCCTCGCAACTCTCCCCCACCATGGTGCTACAGGAACAAGCCCCATCACCTGACACGCCTTGGGTCTGATTCAGCACAGGGAAGAGGCACAACCCCAGGGTGGGCATCTGCAGGCATCAAGGCTGCTGGGGAAACTGAGGCCCAGAATAGATTTGGAATAGACCTCACCCCAACCAGGCCATGAGTTCATATTCAAGATGCAGACCTCCTTGCTCCCATCCAGTGCTCACCTTAATGCTTCCCACAGTTGAAGCAGGCTATTGTGGGAATATTCTCCAGCCTAGTCTTTCCCAGCCACAAGGCCTGGGGATCTACATTCATAACCATCTCCCAAGTGCTTAGGGGAGATTGCCTTTGGAAATGCTGTTGGCCTGACAGGGCAGCTGGCTGTTTCTTCTTTTAGCCTCTGCCCGAGGAGGGAGAGGAAGGGCCTCTGCTACAGGACCCATGAAACACAGAAATGCCAGGGGAAAAGAAAGCCCCCCCCTTGGAAACTCTAGAAGGCAAACACCAATGACTGTAGCCCATACCCCCATCCTGGGTCTGGTCCCAAGATCATGATGCCTAGCAATGCCCACATGTGTAAGTGACAGACTTTGACCTATGTGTAGATGAAGCCCAGAGAGAGTGTGCATCTGGGGCCCTAACGTGGATGACCCATGCAGTGGCCAAGCCTCTACCAGCACCAGCAGCCCCCAGTCTCCACCCCAGACCTGCCCTGCGACCTGGCCTTCAGCCCAGCCCAGGCCCCAGCAGCCGCCTGCCAGAGACCACAATTACAGGGGCCACTGGGGGTGGGGGTGGGGAGCTAGGAGGATGAAAGGCTGCGGGAGAATGGTTCCAGCTGTGGCGGCTCCGGGGGAGGTCTCGTGGAGGGAGGGCTGGGGAAGGCAAAGGGTGAGAACAGGTGGGACCCTCGCAGCACCAGCCTAGCCCAGTCTAGTCCTGCTCTGTCTTGATGCTCAGCTGAAGAAGTTGGTTTTGGTGAAGAAGAGAGGGAAGATCTCTAGATGGATAAGGGACCCTCCATCCTGTTGTCCCTGCCTCAGCAAGGTAAGAGGAAGTGGCTCGCTGCTTCCACATCTCCAGATTCCTGGTGTGTGGTTCTCAAAGGGAGAGAGAGAGAGAGAGAGAGAGAGAGAGAGAGAGAGAGAGAGAGAGAGAGAGATGAGTTGGGAGCCCTTGGCCTCAGACTCATTCTAGGTCTTCCACTCAACCTTCTCACCCATCTGCCTATGTCTGCCTTTTCCTGATGCGGTCCCACACACATCTGGGTTCCTCTGTGCTCTTCCCCTTTACCCAAGCTACACTTGTCCCCCACCCCTCAACCAGCAGGGGACATTGCCTGTGCCTGGGGCAGAGCAGCTGGGTGAGCTAGGGGAGAGGATGTCAGGGGGGCACGTCTGAGCTCTGTCTCTCACCCCACCCTCAGGCAGCACAGCACCATCTCTGTATCTACAGAGAGGTCTGGGTGGCTCAGGACCTCCAACCATGCATGCCTCCTGTTCAACACCCTTAAGGTAGGAAGTTCCCAGACCCTTGTGGGACTTGGTTTAGAAGGTGGATCGCTGCTATGTGACTAGCAACTTAAAGACCACAGCAGAGCTGGGTATGGTGGTGCGCATGCCTTTAGTCCCAGCATTTGGGAGGCAGAGACAGGCAGATGTCTGAGTTCGAGGCCAGCCTGGTTTACAGAGCTAGTTTCTGGACAGCCAAGGCTACACAGAGAAACCTTGTCTCGAAACACGCCCTGCTAAAGACTGCAGTCTGCTCTGTGCTCCCACCATGTGCCAAGATGCTCTCAGACAGCCCAGTTTTGGGATGGGGTTACCTAGGCACAGACGGGGTAGCCGCTTAGCTGACTTGATAGGGACTTTTATTTATTTGGGGTAGCCGCTTAGCTGACTTGATAGGGGCTTTTATTTATTTACTTATTTATTTTACTACATCTTACCTTCTTTTCAGCCTACTTGGAGTGGTGTTGATTCATATCACTTGCCTCAGTCTGCTTTTCTGGCATCATAGAGGAAAATACTCAACAAACACATCACCCATCTCAGAACCAACACCCTACCAGCGCCAGTCATAGACTTGAGTCCCAGTCCTAGGTGTGGTCGACCTAGAGGTCCCAGACAGCCTGAAACCCTAGCGGCTTGACCCAAGCTGTGCGTGGGTCTCTGGGCTTCCTTTTAGTCTTACCATTGGGAGGGACTTCCTGCGCTTGAATTCCCAGGCCCTTCTTCCCCTGCTGCTCTGGATCAATAGAGAAGTTGGACTCTGAGGCCCTCTGGTGGTGTTTTTCAGAAGTAAAGAGATTGAGAAAAACACTGGTTTGAGCGGGCGTTGTTAGCGCCTGAGTGACTTGCTGAGCCTGCAGCAGGCTTTGGGTCTACACTGGAGAAGGGAAAGGGGGAGAGGAAGGGAAAGGAAAGGAAAGCGGAAGGAAAACAGGAAAAGGGAGGGGAGAACAGGAGAGGCACAGCAGCAGCGCCCTCCCAAAGCTCTGGGGAAGGCAGATCTGTGATGATAAACTCCATCCCTCCGAGCTTTCCTTTCCTTTGTGTGCCCCTTAAGGCCATTTCTACTCTCCTCGAAAATGTAGATTCTGCTTTGGTGGAGGTTCTGAGTTCAAATTCTCTGTGAGATTGCCCTGCAACCCAGGCTTTTGGTGGAAGAAAGGCAGGAAGGAAACCACAAACTCCCCTTCCTTCTTCCACAGCCGCCATCAGTGTCTGTCCCAAAGTTCCCTTCCTCTGCTCCATTTGAAGAACTCTGTTCCCCCTTTCCCTGTGGTCTCAGGAGTCTGCCAATCTGTCATAGCAGCGTGTTTCCCTGGGGAGTGGTACTGGTTCAGGCTGAACTAGTCAACGTCTTCCTTGGGACTATAATTGCGGAGGCTTTTTAAAATAGACTTACTTTTTTGTGTATTCATGCTTTGCTGTATGTATGTGTGGGCACCATGTGGATGTCTGGTGCCTGCAGAGCCAAAGATGCTGTCTGGTCCTTTGGAGCTGGAGTTAAGGATGGTTGTGTGCTACCATGTGGATGCTGGTAACTGAGCCTGGGTCCTCTGGAAGAGCAACAAGTGCTCTTAAACACTGAGCAATTTCTCCAACCCCAGGATCTCCCCCGCCCTCCTTTAAAAGAAAAAAACATTACTCCTAAGCATGTAGGCCCGAAGCTGTCACATCGAGGAAATGTACAAGGGGAGAGAATGAGGATGGTAGACAGACATGGTGAGCTGAAATGATAGACATAAGGGACAGGGACTGAAGAATAAGAGGGACATAGGGGGTGGAGGAGAGACAGAGAGATCTATAATGGTATCACTTAAGTCTTTGCATTCAACTCAGCTGTGGCTGAATTCAGAGTAAATTCTGCAGTTTCCTTTGGCCTAATATGCAAGTTAGATATCTTCATTTGCAGTCAGAGAGCCCAATACCTGCAAGGCAGTAGCCCTTTATGCTTGTTCTCACAATAACTGCCCTCCATAAAACATTAATTTGACATAATTTGCCAAATGCCATGCTAAGTGTTTTTCGTATCTCAAGAAAAAGAAATCCTCCCAACATCTCTTTAAGGGCCTGGGATGGGTCAAGATGGCTGCAAATTCTTTGTCTTTTGTCCCACTGCTAGGCAATCTGTTTCCCCTCTGTAAATTTGGGCTGGCTCTGTGATCTGTTCCAGCTAAGAGAGAGCCACAGTAATACTTTGCAACTTCCATGGCTGGACTCTCAGGAGACAAAATCTGCCTGGAGGCTTGACATGATGTCTTTTCTTGACGTCTTCCCTATCTTCAGGCCATCATTCTGGAAGAAAGCCCAAGCCAGCCACACAGAGACAAGATCACTGGAGAACCACTTAGTCCTTAGGTGTGGAAACAAAACCCCGAGAGCTCCCTAGACCAGCACATCTTCCAGCAAAATGATCCTAGGCACTCTGCAAGTAGTCTGACCTCTCAACCAAACCCCTGAACTGAGTTCTGAGCATAGCTGTCCAAACAGAATACTGAGCAGTTGTTACTCTGAGGCTGTTGCTATTCATCAATGGATAACTGAAGTAGAGTGAGACTACACAGCTCAAGGGAGAAACAGGCCACATTGGCCTGTACTACACCAGCCTCAAATTCAACCTTCTGAACCAGAAATTCCTACCTTTTCCTGCTTAGCTGCAGGGGGGAGAGTCATCTTCCAATCGCAGCATTCTCACTGGAGTGCATCCCACAGTTGGGCTGTGCACCCTATTCTCTTGGATTGAAGGTGAGGGCACAACCCTCACCTCTAGAGCCCCAAACTCTTCATGTGTCTTTTAACCCCTCACAGTTAGCTTCCTGAGAGTACCAGCTTAAAAAAATTCATGTGGCTGGTGCCACACAAGACCCAGGGACAAACTTGTTTCCTCTGAGTGTGATTAGAAACACTATGCTGGACAGCCTGAACAGTGTGTGTGTGTGTGTGTGAGAGAGAGAGAGAGAGAGACACACACACACATACTCATGCATACATATGGGTGCCAGAAGACAAACTTGAATGTAGCTTTAAAAATTATTACTATATTTACACACATAAACACACCATATATATATATATGTGTGTGTGTGTGTGTATATATTTGTATATGCACACACACACACATATGTAGAGAGAGAGAGACTGGGGACTGTTTTCTCCCTTTATTGTGTTGTTCTGGGAATCAAATTCAAATTCAGGTATTAGGGGAGCATGCACCTTTATCTTTTGAGTCACCTGGAAGTCCCCTCCCTTTGTGAGACAGTTTTTAGAAATCATTAATAAGACAGGCTGGCTAGCTAGCTGGCCCCAGTGATCTTCCTCTCTCCCTCTTCCCAGTGCTGGATTAAAAGTGCACCACCACGTTGGGCTTTTTGTTTTGTTTTGGCTTTTTTCTCTGTGTAGCTGTGGTTGTTCTGGAACTCACTCTACAGACCAGGCTGGCCTTAAACTCAGAGATCTATCTGCCTCTGCCTCTGGATTGCTGGGATTAAAGGCATGCACCACCATCACCAGGCCATAGTGGGCTTTTTAATGTGATGGAACTCAGGGCCAGCCCTGTGCTTGTAAAGCAAGCACTTTACCTGACTGAATGATCTCCCAGCCAGGAAGAGTCTTTTAGAGCTGATGGGATGGCTAGTTTTGATGGTAACAAAAGCAGGTGTTCCTTGAAAGTACTTTGTTTTTTTACAGTTTATAAAGAGCTTTAATCTTATGACTCTAAAACTCTACCCTTGATTTCCTCAGAAGTCACAGAAACAGACATAATACCCAAAAATTAACACAAATATCTGACAACTGAGCATACCACGAGAAGTTTCTGGGCCCTTTACATCCCTTTAAAATGGAATCATTTTCTCAATGGATTCTCAATGGAATCATTGTTCTCAAGATTCAGGAGCCTGATGTGGATAAAACTGAACAAAGGGGTGCCAAAGAAGAGATACATGCTTTCCAGGGGCCCTCCCTCACCCTCTTCTGCCTTGGTGATGGGTGGAATTACAGATTCAGGCTAAAATGCTAGTTCTATCAGGACCACCTTCCTTCCATAACCTGGCCCTCTAGAATTACCTCTCCTCAAACTATGGGTCCTGTCCTATTGGTTTAAATGTCTTTGTTGATACTAAACTCTCCTGTTCACCCCAGTAATTCTGAGGAGTATAATCTCCAGAGGCCAGAGTCTGGCTTTTTTGATTTATTTATTTATTTTTTGTTTGTTTTTATTTTCATCTGGGAGGCCAAGGGGAGGGAGAGCCTGCATAGGTTTCTGCAGAAACTAGCAGAGGACCCTTCTGGGGAATGCTGAAGGAACAGAGTCCTCAGACCTTCGTGGACAAGTGTAAACCTCAAGCTCCCAATCCCCATTGCGTCCCAAGACCTAGATATGTATTTTTCCTAGGGAGCAGCTGGGCCCCAGACAGTGCCCCCTGCTGGAATCCAGTGGTCCTGCAGATTGCCAAGAGGCAGAGGCGTGCAGTTCCGAGGCAGGCGGCGGGTCAGAGGCACAGGCTGAGCTCCTTGCGCACGCGGCAGCGGTGGCACTGCACCACGCAGCACCAGTGGAAGCGGCACAGGCAGTTCTCTTCGAGCTGTACGCTCTCCTGGCGGTGTCCGCGACCGCAGCACAACAGGTCGCAGCCGCTGAGGTCCGGGGCACTGCTGTTGCAGGCGCGGCCGCGGGTGCCAGGCGAGCCGGTGCGCCGGTTGGGGGCGCAGAAGTCGGGCGAGTCGGCTGCATAGAGGAGGTCGGCTCGGCCAGGAGGCTTGAGCGTGCGGACAGCAGGCAGCAGGGCTTTGCCGTCGTTGGTGCCCATAACGCGCGAGGCGCCGTGGAAGCGTTCCAGCAGCCGTGCGCCCACCTCGCGGAACGGAGGCAGCTTCTGCCAGCAGGTGCGCAGCGCACACGAACCCGAAAGCCCGTGACATTTACATTCGGTGCGCGTGTGACTCCGCACCGCCTGGGGGAGCAGAAGGACAGGGTGATGGGTAGGGCGGAGAGAGGCGAGGTGGGGGGACCCACAGAAAGCAAAGGAAGCAGGAGGGAATGGGGGACGAGGAAGAAAGGAGGGAAGGGAGGGAGGGAGGAAGGAAGGAAGGAAGGAAGGAAGGAAGGAAGGAAGAAAGGAAGGAAGGAAGGCAAACAGGCAAGCAAGGAAAGAAGACAGGCAAGCAGGCAGGTAGGCACAAGATTAGGAGAAAATCAAGAAAATGACCGCTCGGAGAGGAGAAGAATGACAAAGATGATTGATTAGTAGTGGAGAGTGGGAAGTGGGAATAGTAGATAGAGCAGAGATTCCAGGGTCCGAAGCCAGGGAGCGGGAGAGAATAGAATGGGCGCAGTGGGGAGATTCTCCATTCTCTCTGGAGTGGGAAGAAGCGGCAGCTGTCGCAGCCTAGCTCTCCTGCCAACCCAGCCTCGTCATTCCTGCCCCTCGCGGCCCCAGGCAGAGCTGAGCAGACACAGCCAGCCGCCTGGGCGTCTGTCTCTGTCACCCCTCCCCAATCCTCGCAACAGGTATGTGGGCCTGTCCGGACATTCCTCTCCTGGGCCCCCTCAGCCTTGGGCTGAACCTTAAAGGACACAGAATGTGTGGAGGGATGTTCCTTAACTAGTCTAGAACTGAGACATACGATGTCTCCACCAAGGAGAACAGGATGGTACTCTTCTCCCTTGCTTGCTGATCTGGGCTGTCCTGGCCTCTCCTGACTTCGCCGGACTCTTGATCCTTCAGTCCTTTCCTAGACAGTTCTAGGCTCTGTTCTAACCCCCACTTTCTCTGCTACCTCCACCAGCAAACCCCAGACCTTTCTGTGGATTCTATTCTTAATTTCATCTCGACCCGACCCTCTGTCTCCGTCTGCTGATGTCACCTCACTTATGACGAATCAGAGGGATGCCCACCCCACCTTGATTCTCTACTGGCCCTCAGTACTATTCTACAATGTTCTTCCCCTACTCTGCTCACTGTCCCTCTCAGCTCCACACCCTCCCTCCAGCCCCCCCCCCAGCCCTCTAGACTGGATATCTCACCTGCCATGCATAACTGTGCCCGGGCCCAAGTTCCAGTCTTCCCAAGTTGCCCAGTTTTGTTCACTCCCATACACATCGACACCCTCCTACACATTCTCATCTTTACTTGTGCCCATGCTACCACGAATATGCTGGCACTCCACACCCACTGGCACACTCTTGCAGACCCACACTGCCACACTCAAGCACACACCGACCTACGGCTCCTGCCCATACGCACCAGCCTGCCTGCCTCATTGTTGTGTAGTTGCACCAGTGCACGGATGTCTCCACGTCCTCGCTTGTGCTGTGCATCCATAAAGAGTCTGGACTTCTCATCTCCGAAGTCCACATCATCTCCACAGCCTCCCCACTCCCAGGCTGCGCTGGCCTCCGGGGAACCTGTCAGCCCTGGAGGTCCAGGAGTGCCCAGAAGGCCAGAGGGTCTTGGCGGTGCTCGCCCGCGGGGTGCCTGGCAACCACATTGCAGGAGCTCGCCCATGGAACAGGCCTGCGTGACCGCGTGGCTGGCACCAGCGGCGGTAATCGCAAACACAAAGGCTGTCTCTCGAATATCTGTGGGAGGACAGAGCCCAGGCCAGTGAGTGCCCAGTATCAAAGATGGGAATAGGGAGTCCCCCTCCCCCAGCCTGTCCTGGGCCAAGGTGGGCAGAGTTCAAGCAGCCTCCCCAAACCTGCTTCCCCCTGGCAAGGAGAAAGCACCTCCCTTCAGGCCTCTCCCACACTAACCCTGCTGCAAGACGCGCCCAAAGGCCTTGCTGTGACTGGAGCAGTTCCAGCGTCGGAAACGGAACTGGAACTGACATTCTCGGACCCCCAGCCTTGCGCCCCGGGCGAGCTCTGCCACCACTTCCGGCTCTGCCTGGCACAGCTCAGCCTGCCGTCCTGCTAGCCGCCTGGCCTTCCTGCAGATGCTGGTAGGATCCATGACCAGGGGGCTACCCACAGCCCTGGGGAGCAGAACAGAAGGTCAGGAGTGTACCTCCCAAAACACAGAAGACCTGGGAAGGGGTGGGGTGAACAAGAGGGAGCTAGCCCACAGCCAGAGACTGCAGGGTCTCCCCACCTGACCCCCAACTGAGACTGGTATTGTCCCTCTGGTTTCCTTTCCTTTCCATGTCTGTGTTTCCCTCTCTACTAAAGTCTAGGCTGAAAACTGCATCATGACAAAAATTCAGTCTTATCCTTCTGTGTGCATCTTCATTAATGACTCCTTAAAGGAACTTCGGGAAAGATGAGAGTAGCTGCCACCACAGAGGCAGAGGTTAAAATTCAATAGGCCTAGCCGAAAAGGGAAACAAGGAAAGACCAAGAAAGCTCTCTCTCTCTCTCTCTCTCTCTCTCTCTCTCTCTCTCTCTCTCTCTCTCTCTCTCTCTGTAACACACACACACACACACACACTTCATAAAAGAAGGTATTCTAAAGAAAAGTAGATGGCTCTGTGTGTGTGTGTGTGTGTGTGTGTGTGTGTGTGTGTGCGCGCGCGCGCGTGTGTGCGCGCACGCCAAGCCTTTAGTCCCAGCCCTTGAGAGGCAGAGGCAGGCAGACCTCTGTGAGTTTGAGGCAAGCCTAGTCTGCAAAGCTAGTTCCAGGACAGGTTCCAAAGCAATACAGAGAAACCCTGTCTCGGAAAAGAGAAAGAAAGAAAAGTATTAAAGAAGGATGTAGACTTACTGAACTGCAACCTTGACAGCCCCAGTACAAAGCAGGGGCCACCTGAAGGACAAAACAGCCATGAGGTATTAGAGTGTCTATGAACAGAGCCTCTGAAAAAAAGCCACAGCCTCTTAGTTCAACCTTTTCTGTAAAAGGAGAAATGAGAAAATTTAGCATAGATGGCTGAGGTGCACCTCCTATTTTGCTCGCCATCCCCCGCCCCAGATTTCCCCAAGCTAGACAGATGGAGGAAGGAGCTGGGAACCTAGCTGCTCAGCATTGTTGGCAAGTAGGTGATGCTGACCCTTCTCTTGCTCCGGGGTAGATGGCTTTCCCAGAGAGAGATGGCACCAAGCCAAGCCCTGTGTGCTGGAATGATATAACCAACGGGTGTGTGTGTGGGGGGGGGGGATGATGTTTGGTTTGGTGTGTAAAGACCTGATGGAAAGTTCTGCACATTGTCAGTAGCCTCTTTACCCTGCCCACCTTCATTCCACCTGAGAGCTGCCACTTGCTTTCCATGGGTTGTCAGCCAGGAATTCACACCTGGGGGGAAACCGCTTGAATCAGATGGCTCCTACTTGAGAGCTCAGGCTTGAAGAGATATGTGGGCAGAGCTAAGGAGGTTAATTTGAGACCATTCAAAAGCCTTCTGCAGAGGGCAGAGAAAGAAAGATTGGGGAGGGGTGCACACCAGAGGCAGTGGGGTATGAAATGTAGAGGAAAATGTCGGCAGAAGGGTGTGAAAGGTCAGGGTGGCCTACTTTTCAGCTTTGCTTCTGTGCATATCCTCCCCACTGTCCCCGTTTACTCCACAAGTACAGGCTGCCCAGGCATGTCCTGAGATGTAATGGTCTTAAATAGCAGCAAGAGGAATTTAGGTCTTAAGGTAAAACTCTCAAGACTGAAGATGAGTGCTCAGAGAGATGTTTGCCGAAAGATGTGAAAATCTTTTAAGGATCTCTCTCTCTCTCTCTCTCTCTCTCTCTCTCTCTCTCTCTCTCTCTGGATGGGTGATTAGAGATACTGTTATCCCTACTCAAATAGTTCAGGGATAGGGATCAAGCATCTCTTCTGGGCAGAAACATGCGGCAAAGGTTCCCTTGTATTGAGCTTGGGCCCAGCCCCTCCTCACCAGCCCCAGAGAAGAAACCAATAGGAGCAATGAGCAGTGAGCCAAGTTAGGACAGCCCAAGCTGGCTGCCAGTGATCAGCCTCTGCCTGCTCACCCACCCACCCATCTGTCCTACCCCAACTGAGGCTGACCTTGTCCCACTTTGTCCATTGTGTGTCAGTGCCCCCGCTTTACTAAACGGCACTACATGAAGAATTCAGTCTTATCTTTCTGTGTGCATCTTCATTAACAAATCTGTCCACTCATCCAACTCATTAAAAAAGGATTTGGAGTGGAGTGGCTTCCAGCATGGCTGTTCAGGGTAGGTGGATAAGCTATGAACTCACTCATTGTTGGGACCGTCTTTTTTCTTCCCTCCTTTTTCTTTCTCTTCCCGGGACACTTTCTGGGTACCTGATTTATACCCCTGCGATGTTTATTCTGACATTTGCATGTCATGAATTCTACATTACAGATGAACAGATATAGGTATATAATGACAAGGGGCACTTAACATATGTTCCTGAGTGAATGAGCCATCAGGTCCCCCTTGAGACCAGGTCTCATTGATGTGGTGTTGTGTCATGACTCCTAGTGTCATATCCTCAAACATTTCTCTCCCCCTGAGATGACAGGAGGGAAGCAGGCCTCTGTGCAGCTGTTCAGTTCCCCTCAACCACCTGCACACTCTAGCTCCTCCTGACTGTGGAAGGCTCTGAAAACGTGCCTTCCCCATCTCCATGGCCCCCACTGCTAAGTTCCCCAGCCCCACCCTACCCCTGCCCTCTGCACACTCCCTAGTTTTCCAAGGTTGAATGGACTTATCTTCCCAAGGTCACCCTGCCCCATCCCTCCCCTCTCCCTCCTCCTGCCTTAGCAAAGCAGGAAAGAGTTTGGGGTGTTCAAGGGAGAACTACGAACCCTCTTGGCCTTGTCAGCTTCCCAGGGGCTAGAGATAGGGAAGGAATCAAGGGGCTATGAAGGGCAGGGCCCCCAGGAGGTGGGGCTGGCCTTTACAGGGTTATGGGACTGGCTGGCTTCCTGGGAACTAGTCTTGTTTACCAGCTGGTCAGGAGGAGGGATGGGCAGTGATAACGCTAGACTCCCAAGGGACCAGCTTGTTCCTTGCCCTCCCTCCTGTCCTCACTCCCATCCTAAAGACATAGGAAATGAAACTCCAGAAAAGACAAACTACCCAGCCCTACCTCTGAAGCTGGTTTTTGTCAGTTCTGGGTGGGCTGAGCCATTCCAGACTGGTCAGTTTCCTCTATGGGCTTCAAAAAACTCATGAGTTGATGCAAGAGGTACTCCAGTCTCAGTGGTAATATTTGATTCCATGTGTAGAACAACTCCCCGCCCTCCTCTCTCATTCCCTCTCATTTACTTTCCTTCCTGCCCTTTTGTTTCCTTACATAATGAGCTGTGCTTTGGGGGAGTCTGGATCAGTGTTGACCTGGGGTCAGCCCAGAGAAGATGCACACTTTCAGAATTTGCATATTTTAAGTCCTGAAATGCATGGTGGTAAGGAATAGATATATACTACATAGGCTCTGGGATTGAATCTTATTGCCACTTCTGGGCACAGAGAACGTGGCTTGCCCTAAAAGAACTCAGTATACAGACAAGAAGGGACAGGCCTACCAGGCCACTCTAACTGTCCTGGCCTGAACTGAGAATTCTCTCTCCAGGACTACAGTTCATGGATCAGTACCCCATTAAAATGGCATTAGAGGCCAGACAGTTCCTACTAGCAATATCTATAGACCTGCGCCCCAGAGACCCAGTATTCTAGTTCAGCTTACTCTTTGCCTCTGGATTCAGAGACTAGAAGAAAATGTTGAAGACTTAGCTCATTCACCTCAGCAACATCATGGTCACACTGATGAGCAAGATGGTAGATCTCTGTGAGTTAAAAGCCAGCCTGCCAGGTCCTTGGGAAGCTGAGGTTAGAGGATTGCAAGTCCAAGGACTGTCTGGGGAACTTAGTAAGACCCTATCTCAAAATAAAAAGTTCACCCCCCCCAAAAAAAAGTTCAGCGGTAGAATCCTTGCCAGAGGCTGTGGGCTCAACCTCCATCACTGTTAAAATAAAATGACAGCTCCCAAAGGAGGACCAGAAGGAAATAGCTACCTGAGCCATGGGTCACCCCAGGTGACCTCTCACAGTTGTACCACACAGCATACCTCTGTTGTCAGGGCTCTGACTCCATCCCAGCCAGGCCACATTTCTGGTCTCAAGGCCACTTCCTCTGTAGTTGGATGCCATCAAGATGCTCTTAACCAACCTCTCTCCAGTTTCACCTCAGCTCCCACTCTCCCTCAGGAGCACCAGCCCTGGCCCGGCTGGTGCTGTATCCTTCTGGTTGTCACTCATTTGAGTGTGTCCTGCCAGCAGCAGGATTGCTTGTTTTGTCTACTCAATGAGGTAGAAGTCTCATTAAAGACAGGCATCTCACAGGTGGATATGATGTCATCAGTGACCCAGGCTTGGGATGGATCTAGACTCTGCCATTTGCTTGTATGATGTGGAGTGAGTCGCTGGCATGTGAAATACACTTAACATTTGTTGGATGGATGATAAAACTTAAACACCAGTTCCTCAGCTGGAAAATGGAAATCATAATCCCTCCCCCATGTAATGGCCTGTACAGAGAGAGGATCCCCACAAGTGCTTGTATTCTCAGGCCCGCTCAATGCAGGGAAAACGTTTGGTAGGGATGGATGTGGGTGGTATGTGTGGAGTCCCAAGAATGTTCTTTCTGTAACAGTCTGTCTTCCCTGTCCGGTGTGGATCCAGGTCTCCTCTATTCAGCTGACCTAGGGACAAAAGCACCCTCTAGGACCCACCTCCTTGCCCAGCTGGATTACTAAGGCCAACTGGACCACACAGACCATGTGACCATGTGAGACTAAGAAAGTCTCACAGCAAGCATGCCAGTCTGTCTACTCCTCCCCCAACTCCTTACCCCCAAGATCCTTCATCTGACCCCACCTCCTAGGATCCAGCAGAGGGAGCTCTGAGCCCTGGGGCTGTGGGTGGGGGTGTGTGGAGGTGGGGGAGGTGGGTGGTGGAAAGGGGGCAGAAAAATGTTGCCTGACTGCTGCTGAGGCTGCCGGGCCTGTGCCCGCCCGCCTGTCCTGTCCTGCTCTGTCTAACTCCTAACTCGGTAATTACTGCTCCCCTCCCCCAGTCCCTACCCCTATCCCAACCACCACATCAAAGCCAGTGATACCCCAGCTCCATTAACCCCTGCCTCTCCACTGCCCACCTGTGGCCCCCACTCACCCTTCCCCCCCTCCAATTTGGTTTCCTGTGTCCTTCCTCACACTTTTGTCTCCATCTTTTTTTTTTTTTTTGGAGAGGCAGGGGCTTTCCCTTCCCAGACAGACTTCACTGTGCAAAAGGGCATCCTGTTTGCCAAAGCTCAGGAGGCAATCCCCTCCA